AAACGTGTTTTAAAACTTCGTAAGTCTTTAAAAACTCCTCAGCTGGTTACCTGCTCAAAGATTACTAAAAGAAATTATTTAATAACAGCTTCCTGAAGGCTTTGTGACGTATGCATATTTCACAGTAGTTTTTCAGTCTAACAAGACTAACTAGAAAGAAGTATTTGCCATTTCAAAGATTTATTCTCACAAGTACCTGATGCACGTAAGGTAGAAGGCCAGTCTCATGAACCTGGCGCCTCCTGTTCTCCAAAACACTCTGCTCCGTGATTGTGGTTCTCTTTGTTTCCTTAAAAACAAATGTAATTTGTCTTCTCTCTTGCCGATCTCATCTGTGAATTTGTAGCTAAATGAGGTATCATTCTGTATGGCATCACGGAGAATTAAGCATGTGAAAAATATCAGGCTCTCCCCCTGCAGAAACTCAATTTTGCTAGAAAAAACCCTGTGGGTATATAATACATGTGTACTTCTGCAAAATCTTATTTGAGAGATGCGTTCATAGAGTATGCACTAATATAAGTGACAAAAGATTCAGCGATGTCAAGTCCCGTAAACAAACCACTCCAGGGAAGTAACATTAACACATAATTGTATGGTTTTACCATGTCAGACCTGTCACAAAAAATAACTTGAATTGTGATTACAGTAATTAATTTTTCCTCTGCCATTTGAAACATGAAAACTTATTATGGCAGTGAAGATGATAGATTCTGGCCTGCCATTTTAGAGCATCATATATTTACATTTCCATAGGAAGAATTATTACCAAAAGATGTTAACAGGATGAGATTTATGCATAAACATATCTTTAAGTATACCCACTATCTTTACATTAAGACCTTAAGGTCTTGAGAAGAAAAAAGGGGTAAGACTAGGCAAGAAAGGTAAAGCAAAACAGAGATTTTGTCCCCGAAATCAGGCAGGTCTAGAAATCACAGTTCTGGAAAACTGGTTTGTGGGTTATTGGACCAGTTTGTAAAGAAAACAGAAAATGTCATTTTTCTGTCTACTGTTGCAGTCGCCAAGATGTTATTAATCTGATCATCTTTGTTTCGTTACTGCTGTATTAACACTGTGTCCAGGGTGAGTGGGTGGCTGAGCTTCCCGCTCTGTGGCATTCCTTCTGTTTCGAAGCGGAAATTTCTATGTCTTGACACATAACTTAAAGAAAAAAAGGGGTGGAAAAAAAGGAGGAAAGAAGGAAAGGTACTGGTTCAGCTGGTAGAAGACTATGAGAATACTGTTACCAAAGGCACCTACGTAGGTGTGCTTATACCGCGTAGTTTTATAAATAAGCCCGAGGGGCTCCTTCTTCGCCGCCGTCCCCTTCCCCGAGTCTTGCGCTCTGCCTGCCTGATCCCATCCGACAGTAGAGCTGATACCGCACTAATCCCCGCAAGTTTGGGACTAATGAACTAACTGCTGGGCTGCTGCCACGGAGCTTGGTCCCAAACTATACTGTACTTCACACTCGATTTATTCTCCAGATGGCGAGACCGCGCAGCCCCGCCGTGAGGGACCACCTCTTCCACTGGAGTGTAAAAGTGGACGGATGTTGTTTTCTTTGCAGATTTGATAATTCAGAGCTAGGAACTTGTGAGGATGGTTAGTTATCAGGTCTAATGGGTGCCAGCCGAGCCGGCAACACACGTATTCCCATCTTCAATTTCGGTGTCTGTGCGTCTGGGTGGCGGTGGATTTGTCGTCGATGCTGCGTCACTGGAACCTTTATCTGCTCCAGTTGGTGTAGCTGCGCGTGGTGATGAACATCTTCCCGTGTCCTCCTCAGAGTCAAACAGAAGGGATGCTAAAGTAGCCACCCTGACCAACATGGGTTTTCTCCCAGTGGGTTTTCCAGCAGGAGCTGCAAATTTAGCATATTTTAATAATATCACTGTTTACCATGAAGGTCTCTGTTGTCCTTCTCTCTCGTTCAGTTTGATAAAGCACCCAACCCACATGGGACCCAATGGGGATACCACCTTGCCAAGCTGCCTAGGGATGGAATAATTTACTTAACGATTAGGTTAATTTCTTTATCAGCTATTAATTCATGACAGAGTATTATGTTGTAGTTCTCATGTGAAGAACAGGGTAAATAATTTCTTTCACGGTTCCTTAAAAATCCTAGTTCAACCATTCTTGGCAGGGACTTTACATATGTTTCGAAAGCGTGTTTGTTCTTGCATCTACCTACTATAAAGACATTATTGTATCAAGGACTACTTTTTTCTCTACTGTTACAATGTTGAAGTACTTTACCTAGCTTAAAATTTTAGCTTTTGTGCGAATGCTACAGCAAGAACAGCATCTACATTTCCCTGAGTAATGAGGCAGAAAGGGCTCTCCCTTTCCTCGATGTTTTTAGTACATTTAGTCAGAGGTTTTAGTACATTGTTTTATTTACCCATGAAATGTTTTATTGGAAGCCTGGGTGGGGGCTTGATACACCCCACTAACATCAATGGGATTTTCTCCATTATAGCAAGGGTAGGCACCGAGTCAGCCACCTCTCGAGCTCTGACTTTGGCAGCCAGGTCCTCTCAGCGTGTCCCACAATTAAAAACATAAATTGAATCCTGATGTGGAAACTATAGTGACTAGAAGTATTTTATCGTGGAAGGGAAGTGTTTCCATTCCGGGGGTATCTAGGCAGACAGATCTGAAACGTAGTGGTTCTAAGAAAATGCATCATTTCTCAACCCAACAGATGGCATGGGTGTGTTAACTAACATAGCAACATATTTTCTATTAAAATATGGGAAAAAACAACAACCCCCTCCCCCTGTTTGTTGGTTGGTATAAATTCAGTGAAGTTGTTAGTTATTTTTGGGATACGTACCAGAGGGCTGCACATTTAGTTTATGTAAATTGATAACAGCAACAGCCTGTTAATAAGTGTTTTGTATGGAAATATACCTAGAAAGACACGATCTGTCTTTTTTGGGAAGGGAGTTTGCAGCCTGAGGAGAAAAATAGCTAATGAGACGGTCTGCTGCTCATTATTATAATCTGAAAAAAATCATAACAAATCAGGCTGAAAGTTTGCTAGAGATGTGCCTTCAGTTGGAATTGGATGCTGCCTTGGTGGATAATTTGGGGAGATCTTTCTTTTGCAAATTGGATCAGTATGTGCTGAAACAGTGATAACCTGACTTTAATTAAAAGCATAAATTGGTTTGGAGTGTGTTTTTAAGCTACCCTTCTCCATCATGTCCAGAAACTTTCGACCCAGCCCTAGAAACCCGTTACCGCTGGTCGGTAAAGGAAGACGTAGAAGATTTGTATTACCCGGTAATGGCATCATATGGTTCGATTTACCTAATTCGGAAGGACTATTTCAGAGGGCTGCGCGCCGGAGCCTTCTTCCAGCTGGACGTGTTTGTAGTAAACTGCATACATCTTTGTGTGGCTTTCCTAATGGCCCCAGTCAGAGTCCATTCACAGCGGTTCGAACGTTTCGGGTTGTATTTTCCAGAGATTACCTCCGAACGTGCCCCTTGATCGCAGCACAGGGATGCGTACACGTGCGCCTTATTCCCGTCTGGCCCATTAACGGGCATATGCTCCCAGCCTTCGGAGAGGCAAGGCTAGTAGCCCCAAGCTGAAGGCTGTTTGCTTCAGATTTCATTAACTTTCTGCTTCATTATTCCTTCCCTTTAACCAGTTAGAGCCATCACTTGCTTTTCTCTAAACTTACCCTAATTATCGGGGGTCCCAGCCCTGTAAATCAGTACATTGCAGAGCTGTCTTAAACTGGCCTGGGAGACCCTGTTCTGATCAGACCTGACAACTGTAAGCTACTGTTCCCTCACACTGTTTAACTCAGACCACATTGGGAAACCGCCTCTGCCCCTCTCGCCAGCAGAGATCTGCATCCGTCTGGTTTAAATCTACTGTCATGTGCTGTCTTGCTGATTGGTATTAGCCTGGATATTAACTTTGATGATTTTTTTTTATTTTTCCCCCTCGAGTTCGCCTGTTTTCTTGAAAAGCATCTCTATTCAGCGACTGCATATTGTTAAAGTCGTTCCTGAACCTCTGTGAGTCAGGAGCTTTAAAGTTTTATTAGCCCCATAAAAACTCTTCACAAATGAAATGACTTTTGATAAGTGTGCATTTTGACAATGCGAATTTGTTAGGGGCTGTTGGCCAGTGGAAGGAATTTGGGGTCGAAACTGCAGTTGGCAGGAAGCAGGGAGCCCAGCGCCCTCCTCTCCTTCCCCCTCCCCACCCCCCCACCGCGTCTTCTCCAGGCCAAGAAATGCGTTTCTTTTCAGAAAAGCATGCAAGTAGTCTTCAAGCAAATCAACTATTAAACAGACTTGCATATTTACATTCACAAAAATAGTGAATGGGAAGCACGTGTCTTTGGAGATTTTATTTTGCCCTAGCAGGAGAACAGCTTTTTACTTGGCTCAAGAAAAATCTCCAAGTTATTTTGGTGTTGTTTTCACACGCGAGTTCTGAACTCTACCACAGGCTTTAGTACACTTTGGATACACAGAGAAAAGGAAGATTTATATAGCAAAACCAAAGACATGGAGGCTCACTGACATCCAGGCAATATAGAGATGAATTACAAAAATGAATTGTTTTATGCAAATTTAATAACATTCCATTTTTGTGAGTGCAGATGGTTAGTACAACGTATTGTGGTTGGTATAAAGATTTGTGTTTGTTAGACATGTTCAGCACTACTGGACACAAAAGTCTTTTTTTCTACAAGTGGTGGTGTAAATATACTTAGACATAAAACCTGAGCATTTTACTTACCAGTTACAAAGAAACAAGGAAGGTAAAATTGTGAGGTGCTGGTGATGACTGCTTCGACAGAAGTCCAAGAGTGACAGATGTTTTGGGGACACCAGTATACTGACTGTCTAGCTTTATCCCCATATCATTTCAGCAAGTTTTCTGCTCAGTGCACTTTTCTGTCAATAGAAAATATGCTTTATTTTTCTCTTCTTGTGCCTCTAAACTCATATATTTTGTAGAGAGAAGCAAGGCTGACCATTGTGAAAATGCTGGACGAGTTTGACTTTGGCCATGCCGAAAAGTGTGTTAGGATAAACTCTGTGTCCAGTGGTCTTGCAGAAGAAGATTTAGAGGTGCTTTTGCAGTCCAAGACCCTTCCTTCAAGCATGATGCTGCCAAAGGTTGAAAATGTGGAAGAAATAAGATGGGTGAGTACCAGCAACACAGTAGCTTTTGACTGAAGCTGTTGGGCCAAGTTCACACAGGCATAGAGATGAACGACTCTGAGTTATGAGGAAGGCTGCGAATACCATATAATGTTGTTGCTTGGCAAAGATAATTGGGAAATGCATCCATTTAAATGTGTGTAAGTGTGCTGTATAAAAAGCTTACGTGGAACACCTTGCATTTATAAAGCAAACCAGGTCTATTTCTCCCAAGGTCAACGAAGAACCAATATTAACATCAGAGTATATTATCAAAAATAGAAGCATAAGTATCTGACTCTTCTCTAACTGTCCTAACAAGCAAAATGACTGTCTCTGTCCGTGAGCCTTAGTTACATGCATTGTAGGCAGGAGATGGGGAAACTGTGTTAGCAACATATGAAAAAATGGGTTGGGGGGAAGGTCACTCCTTGGGGCAACTGGAGGAATAAACAGGAAGCTTTTAACTACTGTTTTTAATTAGCACAGATATTATTTCCTGAACAGTTCTCTATTTCTTCCTTTTTAATTGCTGACAGGTGTGTTTGTGTTTCACGACTGACTTTTCAGCCAATAAAAACCTGAAATGTAAATGGTTGGCATGTCAAATTGCTTAAGAAAACTTTGAAATGGGCCTAATTATGCTATAATTGTTTTAATTGTCAAGAAAGGGGGATGTTTGTTTAGATATACCATTATTGCTGTAACATGCCAGTAAAGGAATAATGCTTAATTATTCACCTCTATATTTTTGCTAGCCGAGCTACTAGCACGCGTGCAAGCTGTGATGAAAGGCAGGCAGACGTATTGGGATCTATTTTAATCTCAGCATCTAACCTCAATCAAACCGCTAAGATCAGGCGTGAGCGTACAACTGAGCAAAAACGTTGGGTACGTGACGAACCCCGTCCGTTCCGTGGTGCTGCCCCTTTGGCCTCCGCCGCTCGCGACGGAAGGTACAACGTCCCCTTCCACCAACATTTAATTAAATTAACCAGAGTGTACCTCTCAGGGTTTGCAGCCGTGTAAGTGTTAGACCTAACGTGTCAGCAATGAATATTCATGCTTCCAAAATGGCAGGGCCCTTGCTGCCACCGAGTCGGTTTTTTGCTTCCACCTTCCCTCTCGCTAACTTTGATTTCCATCGTGGAAAACAAGCCAGCCCCAACAACTTCTGCCTCGTGGGCTGCCTTTTGCTTCCCTCTCACTTTGCTCAAGCTTTGCACACAAAGAGCGCGCTGTGTTTAACGCCGCTGCCTGCTTTTCCCAATCCTCCCAAAATTCACCCCGGCATGATTTTTCAGCCTCCCAGAAGCTGTTTATTTCCCCCCCCACGTAAACCACCCCCCCCTCCTTCATTTTTATTTATGTGCAGCAGAAAACCTGGAGGCTGATGCACAACTAAAAGATGGGCTTACTTGTTTCCTTTTGTGTGAGAATCTCTTGCTTTCCTTTTGTCCCTAGTGTGGGTACTTGTTTGACTGGCATGGCTTATTGGACTATAACAAGCGTAACTCTCCCTCCTTTGTGGTGGGACAATTCTCCCACAAATCCCGACCAGTGTGCATTCTTCCCGACACACTATTGGGTGTGCACTGGAATTGAAAGAATTGCTGAGGCCTTGCTACTTCATCCCCTCCCCAAGCTTTGTGGGTTTTTTTTTCCCTCCGCCTTCTCCTTTTTTTTCCCCCTTTCTCCCTGAAATGAACACTTTACCGGGCCGGAAACATTTAATCGTCTCCTTTTGAAAAAAAAAAAAAAAATTAATTGAAACTTCTCCACTCGTTACCTTTTGTATTGGTGCTTACTGCAAATTTTTCAAAAGGGAGAGGAAGGGAGAAAATATTTAATTAAACGTGCTTCTTTTTTGCATTTACCTTCCAAATAAAAGGTAGCAAAAATCCCGGGAGAGTGACTTTTTAAATATTTTAAAATAAAATAAGAGCTCTGCTGCTTTAACTTGCACCTAAAACATAAACACAGTAGTGCTTTTTGCTTTTTTTTTTTGCTTAAAAACTAAAAATCAGATAGGAATCTTAAGAATACATGCTGATGCCGTTATATTACCTCATTTTCTGCATCTGCCTGGATGAAGTTTACTGGTTTCTGTCACTGTAGTACCTGCCATACTGTACGCTCACACGTGTGAATTGCATTGATTATTAATTTTTTTCCTCCTTGCACATTTTTGGGTGGAATTATCTTCTCCATAGAAAAGTTACCAAGAGGGCCACGGTGACGATGCAAAGTAGGGATGGGAAGGGCAGAATACTTCATCAAAGAGAGCTGTGATTTATTTTGGCCTAATTGTAAAGTTACTGCAAATTGCTGGAAAGCTTTTTTTCAAGATCCGGGTGATTAGATTTTCCTTCTTTTGGGGAGGGGCGGTGGGGGGAAGCTAAAAGGGGAAATAACACCTCTAATCCAGCTTCTGGTAAATAGGCTGCCAGCTTTTAAAATGAGTTTCCTTTCTATTAGTCAGAATATTATGCTAAGCCTTAAGCATTAGTTTTTTATGTTGCCATAGCAGCCTTATTCCTGCAGGGTTGTGACCTGCGATGATTACAGTACAAAGCTTATAGGGTCTTGAAACCCCCTTTGAAGATGAAAAGTCTTTGATGGTTTATATTTATGCAAATCTCTTAGATATGATTTACCCAACTGAGACTGAATGGAGAGATGATTAAAATTCCCTTTCCTTTGATATCCATTAATAGTCGAATAGTCCTTAAATTTAAAATATATGCATATGTTATTTTTGTCTTTATTTACTAACATATTTTTGCCATACCTGTGATATGTTTATCTCCGCGCAAATTACTCGATCTGGACAGACATAATAGATTTACGATATAGGGCTGAGGGTTTTTTCCCCTCTCTTTTTTTTTTTTTTTTTTTTTTTTTTTCCCCTTTTGAAAGGGGAAAAATCTGTGCAAGAGCTTTTGTATGTTTCCAGATGATAGATTTTGGAATTTGGGCTACCCCACTGGCAGCTCAGAGCTAGCTGTGAACTGGTCTCATGGAAAAAATTGGCAAGCTTTGGTCTTCAAAGAATTAAACTTCCTTTTTAAGGCCTTCCTAGGTAAGCTAAAAAATTATGAAGAAAAGCCTATTGAACAAAAGGGTAACGGTGCCGTAATGAATAATACGGATGCCACTTAGAAGGCTGGGGAGCACTTCCAGTGATGGCAGTGCTGGACCCGAAACAAAACCGGACCTCAGGTACAGCAGCACTTCATTGTTTTCCAGGGCCCGCGGATTTGCATTTCACTAAGCCAGGGTGAGAGGTGCTAAGCCTGGATTTTACTTTATTTTTTTTTTTTGCAAACCAGCCTCCAAACTTAGAAATGTATGGGAATGCTGCGGTTTCGAATCGCAGGCCTTGTCCAAAGCTGGTTCCGTTTTTTTAATTGTAAGTTTTTGGCGTGGGGAGGGGTGTTGTTACAGCCAGGTGAAGATTTAACGTGGCATATGTACGTGTAGACTGTACTTTTTTTTTGCTCTCTGATAGCTCATACTGTCTAGTTTTAGTTTGCAGACAAATTCTTACATCACCTAAAAGGCCGAACACTTGTAGAACCAATGAATTTTATCCCCTTTGTGGAAACTGCAGTGGGCTTGCTCAATTTTAAGGTAAGCAGGTCTTGAAGTGTTCATATTTTGCCATCTCAGCAAACTAGAATAAGCAGAATAGTCTCTAGTTTCCCACTAATTTCATCGAGGAAGAGAGGTTAAAAAATACAAAACATGCTGTTCAATACCCTAAAACATTTGTACCTTTAACTCACATCTTTGTATTGTAAAGGTCTTCCTAAATTCAAAATATTTCAGTGACAGAACAGTTCCAGATAGTCCATGCCAAATAACAAAGCTCTCTGCATTACTGTTATAATTTTTATCACACATGGAGTGGAAACATGCTTCTCCAAAGATGTGAAATACTCACAGTGTTGCAATACACTTGGCTATTTAGTAGCTATCGAACTCAACTTTTGTATAACATTTAATGAGAAAAAAGAATTAATCATCATTTCACTATTGCTAAACAGGCATCTTTACAGTGGTTTCTTCTGATAACATTACAACCAAATTTCACGTTATCATTTTTCTGTGTGTATGAGGGGGTGTTTAGTGCTAAGATTAGAAGTGTAATTAACTTTGAAAATAGCAAACATCTGAAGAACGTGCTCCTTTTTTAGGGTAATTTTAGATCAAGACTTACTTTTAAAGTGCATTTTAATATCAATTACTGCCAACTTTTCCTATCAAGCCCAGTTTTTTCAGAAAGGCAAGGCAGCGTAGCAGTGAAGCGGAAGATCTCGTGCATGCACCAGGAGTTCAGCGGTCCCCTCCCAAGCTCTAAGGGAAAAGTTTCGGACCAGCTGAGGACACGCACATCAGAAGTACCTCCAGCAGTACTGGCAGGCCTCGCAGGCAGCCTGCTCCTTTGATACAGCCATTTCTCTTACAACGCACGCTAACGTGTCTGCGAACGTAATAAAGCAGTAACCAAATAGACTGGCTCCTGTGCATACACAGAATTAAATCACATTTTAAAACAGCAGAGATTTTTCTTCACCTGCAGTATTTTATAGCGGAATTCTTAATATTGCAGTTCCTGATGCTGGCAGGAGAGTTGCCTTTTAAAGCACTCTGGCTAAGAATAAGCTGCCACAGAAGAACACCCACTAGTAGAGCTAGTAATTACATCTGTCTCTCTCTGCGTACCTAGCCTTAAAAAATATTAATATTATCCAAACATTGGTATGAAATAGTAATATTTTGGAAATGCACTTCTTCATAGAATAGCTACAGCAGCAAAATTTTTACTGCGCTTATTTTAATAGCTTTATGCAGCACTTGTTGCATTTTAAACTTCCTTAGCTAGTTTTTAGTTATATGTAGAAGACTTTAAATTGGCAATCCTATGATGAATGCTTATATCCTATAAGGGATCTACAACTGTTTTAAACCATTCCTATTATTTATTTAATAAAAGAGATTCTGATCTTTATTTCTGTTTCCCATGTGTATATAGTACGTGTCAAGCTAATCAAATTTAATACTTTTCGTTTGCTTTTAAGCAGCATTTCACAAATGTGTTGTTTCATATTGTTACATAAATATCTGAAGTAGTGCTTATAGTAATACCCAGGGCATTATGTCAACCAGAAGGCAGGGAATCTGCTATGATGTCCTGTATTTACA